TAGTAGTAGTAGCAGCAGCAGTAGCAGTAGCAGTAGCAGTAGCAGTAGCAGTAGCAGTAGCAGCAGCGGTAGTGGTAGTGGTAGTGGTAGTGGTAGTGGTAGTGGTAGTGGTAGTGGCAGCAGTAGTAGTCGTCGTCGTCGTCGTCGTGGTCGTCGTCGTCATAGCACCACCACTACTACTACTACTACTACTACTACTACCACTACCACTACCACTACTCCTCCTTCTCCTCCTTCTCCTCCTCCTACGTCCAGTGCTGTCAGCGCCTTGGCCGCGCAGGAGCATGTTTCTGCTATTGCTGCACTGAAGGCTCAAAGCAGAGTTTTCCATGTTGTCTTTTGTCTGATGCTCAGATACTGCCATCAAGCCGTCTTCGCTTTAGGCATTGCTTTCGATGTAGGCTTCGAATCTGTCCCTGTTTGGCTCGGGCCAGAAGTTGGTGGTGGAGTTTCATGGAGTTCTTCCATCTTTCTGCTTCATACTGCACAAATGCCTTCGTACTCAAGCACCGCCAATTTCTCATTCTGCAAGCGTGAGGCCTCGAAAGGAAGAGACAGCGGCTACAAGGAAGGGACTTCATTCTTAACCCAGCAAAGGACAATCCTTACAAGATGGCGGGGCCAACTGGCATTCGCAGTGTGGCAATATGGTACTCCTCGGCTTAGCTTCCTGACTCCTTCACTCCGTAGCACAAGCTGCGGCCACCGCGTCTGAAATGGCACGTTCCTACATAGCTCTGCATTCAGAAGGCCAATGCAGGCAGGATCCCGCCTCGAGAAGAGCAGAGACTAAATTACAGCTGCAGCTGCGTCTGCAGCTGTCAGCAACCCTCACCGAGGCTCCCAAAGGCGTGGATGAAGGTCATAGCTCAAAGCTTGGCATGCTGACCCTTCGCAGTTGAAACTGGCTGGCTCACTGAAAGCAATCATTTGTAGATGCTCTCCCTGCGAGTCTCTCGACTTCTGCGAACTGCTTGCTGAAGCACAAGTCTCCCAGGCTGAGAAGCTCGCGATCGCCGATCTGCGCTGCTTGCACGTGCAGCTTGCGGTGAATGCGCTTTTGTATGTACCCGGCGCGCCCCAGCTCTTGGAGAAGCCGTTCTTGCTCATCCAGGTCGGCCCAAATTGCAGGGCTCATCCGGCTCGCCTGTTTGGAGCCAGTAGACGTGCATCCCGTGGCCCGGAGGGAGTGAAGCGGAAAGTCCGCACCATGGGCCCTTCTCGGAACCGGCAAGATGAGTGCATCCAACTCAAGGACCTGCCTCTCTTGGGCTCTCTCGGCAGTCCTTCGGAGGCTCTCACTGACGAATTCCTCCTCTTCCCCTCCTGGCGTTGCTTCAAGCAGGCTAGCGGAAGGAGGCTCGAGCGACCTCGGCGACTGGGGCTTGGATGGCTTGGGCCCTTGGGATGGGAGGAAAAGCCAGCAAGTGTTCTTTTGCTCTGCAGGATGTCTACAGGACTGCGCCACTATGCGACGAAGAATGGCAAGGCCGAAGCACTTATACGTATAAACAGCCAGGACACATGGGAGACTCCACTGGAGCAATGGACGACTCTGAGGCTGATCGAAGTAGTACTGGCGGCTCGGCATCAACTCCGCACAGGCCCGCCAGTCTCGTCCAGCAAGATGGGTTGCAACCCAGCTCCGCGCCAGCGAGGAGATACGCTTTTGCTCGACTGCTCTCCCCGAGTTCGCAGAGCTCATGCAGTAAGGACTCCCAAAGAATCTGTGACGGCATTCCTTGCCCCTGGTGCATCCAATTCATCCACGTCTCGCTTTCTTGCAGGATGCACCGCGACCAGTGCTCGAGTTCATCTTGCTCAACACATGCAATAGCAGGGAGTTGACAAAACTTTGCATCAACTGCCCAAGAGACCTCGCGGTCGTTGCTCCAGCTTTGTCCAGACCGAGAGCTTGGCATACTGCTGGCAAGAGAACCCGGACATGTGTCTTCCGAAATGGAGTGCGCTGCTCCAGGCTCACCAGGCTCTGAGACTGTCGCGTCCGGCTGACTTCCTTGACAGGTCTGGCACCGATCGATCAAGGTGCGTGTACTTACATACATAAATACATACCTACCTACCTACCTACCTACCTACCTACCTACCTACGTACATACATGCATACATGCATACATGCATACATGCATACATGCATACATGCATACATGCATACATGCATACATGCATACATACATATATATTATATAGATATATGTCTACATCTGACAATGGGCCTGGGCCCAATTCATAGAAGCACGATTTGTAAAATCAAACGCTCGGGGGTCCTGCAAGCCAATCCGCATCGTAGTCCAGACTCGTCGAACTCTCACACAACGATGCACAGTCGCTTCCGATGTTGTATGTCTCGAAGAGTTCACGGGACCTGAGCAGCTACGGCACGGCGACACATTACTTAAAAACACCTCAGCGAGTTCGAGCTCTCCTGGGCCCGGGGCTGCATCAGACTGCTGGTACTCTCAGCATCATGGTCTCCGATGAAGAAGTGGACCGGTGAAGTGCTTCCTGGCTGTCGGCTTGAACTGGCTGGAAAGCGCTCAATTCTCAGGCAAACCAAACCCCTACACTCGGCATCATTGCTTTGTTTCACACGTGGCTTGAAACCCTGCTCCATGCCTACAGCCGTGGTGGCCACACTTCCAGCTGCACTCGCAGTTTCTGCACTGTGAGGAAGTTCGGCACCTGACAGGAAGATCCGAAGGACCCTTTATAATTTTTGCTTTTGATCCTGGACTCACCAAAAAACTTGTTGATGTCGGCAGTGCACAACACAACGGCCCTTGTCGGGCCATGAACTCTGCAGTCTCAACCTTTGACTATTGTATACTATCATATAATATTATATAATATGGTGTATTATTATATAACTATATACTATTATGTGATTTCGACACTCGGTACAAAGCCGAAGGCGGCACTTTCCCAGCAGCCATGTGCATCAGCACGCCGATGCTGGTCCAGCAGCTCTCGAAATGCCTGCAATGGGGGGGGGCTGCACCCGGCGGCGATTTACACATCGACATCTGACCCTCCAGTTACGGAGGTCGATCTCCGATTTCGCTGGAGCAGGAATAGAGTCTGTGCCTCGTCAAACGTAGTTGGCCCCAGCAGCTCCTGACGAAGCGAGTCATCCTCCACCCCAAGACTTCGGAAGAGCATGGGCAGCATGGGATCTCCTCCTCGTCCTTTTGCGGAAGCCAGTTCCATGTACCCGCGAAGCTCAGGTCCCTGTCTAACGGCTGCCACTTCATCGTCGGCCTGCGATTCCATCTATGTACGCATCGATTGAGAGACCGGGTCTTGGCTAGGCTTCTACGCGCGATAGCACACCGAGGCGCCAGCAGCCGCATCTCCCCGGCAAGGCCTGGCCTTGGCAGAAGCACAGCAGCCAAGGGTGTAGGGCTCTGATGTAATGTTGTACTATAGTGTTTAATATTACGTCATATGATATAATGTTGTAGAATATTATGCCAAACTATATACTATTATATATCTGCGAATGCAGGCTGCATCTTGCTGCGGCCTCTTTTTGCATCTAGCCTTTCTCTGCAATCTTCAGAAACATTTGTACATTTAAGAGCGGCGGATGGTGCCGCCGCAGCTTGTTGTGGCAGTAATATCCACCACTGAAACAACGCTTGTTGGTATTTCTTCCGCCGTCTGCTTTATAGCAATCATCATGAGAGTCGTGGCCCATGAAGTATCCTCAGCAAGTGAAGCAAGCCAAAGCATGTCCAGATGAAGCATCTAGCACAGCCTGTGAACAACCGCAGCTCAGCGTCTGTTGCAGGACTGCCGCGCTCCGAAATGGTAAGCATCAAAAATGCCAGCAATGTTCAAGTCCTGAATGTCCAACTTATTCCAACTTGACAGGATTGAACCGCTCTCACCAAGTGCCCGGTGTTGTTTGACTGCTTCGACCGGCATCTTCAATAGAGCGAAAGCACGAAACCCAAAATCAATAGAAACACCAGCAACACGATTGTGTCAAAGAAAAACGCTGCGACACCCTTGCGATTGTGGCCTTGTAGCCGGTTTCCAAGTTTTGTGGCATCCTGTCACCAATGGCCTGGTAAGTGCCTTGGGATTGCTCAACAGTCAAGAAGGGAAGCACCGGTGCTCTGACTAGCAAGAAGCTCACGCGGAAGCATGGTTGTAAGACGCTCTCCCAGCAAGGTTTGGCTCACACTGGGTGCACTCCTTGACTCTGCTGCATAGCTTGCGTACCCACCTGCATCCACCTGCGTACCCACCAGCCGAATCAAGCATTGCTGCTCAGTCCGGCACTGTATCGACGAAAATCGAAGTTCCTTTTCGTGTCGGTGTAGTTCCGGTCTTTCACACGGAGGTAGTACGCCAGACTGGCTTCCTAGCAGGAGTGGAGGAAGCCCCGAGCGCAATGAAAATCCCTGCCTAACTCCGTGGGAGTCTGTCTGTCAAAAGGCCTTCGCCGTGACCTTGAAGACATTGTAGGTATTCCCCGATGGTCCACGCAGCTTATTCGCCATCATGAGAGCATTGATCCTTAAACATGACTGCGTCGCCGAGCTACCACCCACTGCGAAAAAAAAGATGTCAGGACATGACGCCTGTCGGCAGATGCGAGCGACTTGCTTCGCCGATCGGGGGCTGGCCGGCTCGCTTTTGTTCTCGTACTCTCCTCTTTCGGCGGGCATAAGGAGAGGGTTGCCCCTCCCCCTGCGCCAGTGCGCCCCCTTTTTGGAGTGGAGTGTAGTGAAAGGAAGCACAGGTGGTCTAGGCGTACTGCCCCAACTTAGGGAGAGTGAAGAAGGAACGGCACAGCATAAGGAACACATCATTCTAAAAGTTCTCGCGCTCTGTCTCGCTCTCGCTCTTTTTTTCCTGCTGGGCTTTGGGGTCGGCGCGCGACCCTCAGGTCACCCAACCAACCGTTGTGTTACTGAGTGGTCGGCTGTGGGGCTCTCAGCAGGACGTCGCACTCCCCCTCTCTCTCTCTCTTCGCTCTCTCCTCGTCTCTCCTTCTTTCAGGCTGGAGCATTTCTTTCGCCAGCATAGGGGACAGGAGGGGGGGAGCCCTGCTTCAGGGCTGAAGTCTTGCTTGCTTGCTAGGGGCAGGGCCACAGCCCCTGGCGCAACGCCTCCCCCACAGAGCATGATGACGCTCTCTCTCCCTCCCCTGTTCAGTGTTTGACCCAGTGCTGTCACTGACGACGCACCTGTCGCTTTCATCGCTTCCATCCCAGCCACGATGTTAACAACCATCGCCAACTCCAGCAAGTCACGATTTCTTACCATGCACGAGCCCCTGGACGTCCTACCATAAAGACGCTGCGAGAGGTAGTCTAATCAGTTTAAGCTGTGCCTGATTCAGTCAAGCTGCACACCGTCATCGAGCTTCCCATCACCTGGACCACTGGTTCTCACCGTACCGTAGGCGTTGCTCTGCCTGCAGGCTGGCTACGACAAGGACTGATTACTGGAATGGAATAGGTCATCATAGTGGAGTCACAGGGAAACAAGCTGGTGTTAATGATGCCTCGAAGGAAGACTTACTACAGGAGGCAGCCGCCGCACCACACCGTCACAACGGCAGCAGCACATGCCGCTGTCACAATATCAGCGTTGCGACAACATTAGAATTAGAGTCATGAGTCATTGGGCATGCCTGCACACGTCGTTGTTCAGAAGCAGTGCCAAAGACAGACTCTTAGGACGGAAGGGCGGACCGACAATCACGATACGCTGAAGCTGTGCTACGACAGTACGCCGTGTAACAAATTGCAACGATCTGCATGATGCAGTGGTCAAAACGTTTCGTGCAACACATGGGAGCAACCTCACTTGTGACCTAAGCTGACTTGCATGCCTGCCGCGCCTTTCATACAGGCCTTGGGTCCACTGGTTGATCTTCACCCAGAGGCCGTCGTCATCGATCAAGACAAATCCCGGCAACTGACACAGGGTCGGTGGAGCTTCTGCTCTGTGCTCAAAACAGCGGCTGCGGTGCATTCCAGGTATCCGTATCACATGGTCGTTTCTGCAAGCTTAATGCTCTGCGGTTCATGCTACGAGGTATTGCAACATCCGGTCATGTCAGCCGGAACCGCAGCCCCAAGCATTGCTACATGGACAACAACTTCAGTTCGAACCAAGCGGTTTCAGGAAAGATGCTGTAGTCGTAGTGGTCGTGTCGCAGAAGGATGAGTGAAGGCAAAGCTTCCCATCGCGACCACACCTGAGTGTCTCACGCTTGGAATCTAGTTTCGGTCGGACACTCGAGAATATTCCTGGGCTCCAAACTGGCTTTGAAATCATCGCAAAACTGGTGAAGAATATCTGCCAAGGGTCTGCATGTAGGCACCACCACCAACGGCAGTGTACGTGGTGGCGCACTTGTCAGCAGTTACGTCTGGACACGACCAGGTCTCCTTCACTGCAGCAGTCAGAACTTCCGATGAGCCAACATACCTGAAGCATGAGATGCCTGGTGGAGACCTCCTCAAGCCATTGCAAACGGAAGCAATGAGTGTAAGCAGCGCATCTGCAAACGTTAGCAGAACACGGGCATATTCACAACTTCGAGACGAGCACTGCGCAGGACGTCCGTAAGGATTTGGCATTCAAGCCGACAAGAAAGCATGTGGGAACACAACCATCAACACAATCGTGCCCCGTGCTAGCTCTAGTCCAAACTGCAAAGATCTCTACTTTCGGTCACCTTGATTCAAGTTTCCGTCCCGCGCCTCTTCTTCCAGTCGACCGGTGCAGATCTTGAACTGTTCTGGGGGTTCGTCCTCCTCTCGGGCCTCATAGTACGCAGACTCCGTGCTTCTGCAACCACCAATGCCAGACAGAATTGCGAATCTGCCATGATACTAGCACTTCGCTTGCCAGAAGCTACACATGGCCAGGCACTCGTTCCACCTTTGCGCACCGAGGCAATGACACCCTGATAAGCGACACAAACTTTTAACTGTCGTGTATAGCAATTCCAAGGTAACACTGAGTGTCCGTAAACCCTAAACCCTTCTATATACCCAAACACACTGATCCCACCGTCTACATACTGAAACACACTGATCCTAGCCCCTCAGCGAAAAAGGAGATGGCACAGAATACTCATAAGTAACTACGTGGAGAAGCAAGCTGACCAGCAGATGAAGACAGTTGCCATGTGTCTGTGGGTCTACGTGTGCATGTATATGTATGTATATGTGTATCAGATATAGATACAGATATAAATAGGTATAAAGACATAGATATCAACAGGACAAGATGCGGATATAGATGTAGGTATTGGCGGCATTGGTGTGTGCATGAATTATCCTGGAGATATAGATATCTAGGTGTATATTATATAGATATTGATATGTAGATACATAGATAAATTGATACATCGACATGTAGATATGTGGATATATATATATATATATTATAGATGGATACACGGTTAGATAGGTAGATAGATGGATAGACAGATAGCGATATGTAGATAGATAGCTAGATAGACAGACAGATGGACAGATTATAGATTGATAGACTGATCGATTGATTGGTTGATTGATTGATGCACACAGTAAGAGGCTACGAATACTGACCCTGCCCACGAGCATACGAAAAAATGCTGAGAAGGCTGCTAGTCGTACGGGCAACAAAAAACCAAGAAGATAATTATAAGAATGATGGCGTGTACATGCAGACATGCGGTATCAAGTCAGCCATGAATATAATCTAACCAACTGCCATTTACAAAGATGCAGCAACATCCATCTGAGCAGCGCTAGAGGTTCAGGGCGTAAGGTTCTAAGCGTGAAGCCCTGAACCTGCAATGGCCGGGCCTGAACCAGAAAAGCGAGCCAGAAAACAACCAGCGCCGAGCCAGTCCACTGCATCTTAAGCACTTCTTGCTTTCCTTGGTTCTAGGGCCGATTTAGAGTTTAGGGTTTTGAGTTTAGGGTGACCCTTTTCGAAAGGGTGTAAGCTTTGGACATTGGCTGAAGGGGTCCAAGGCTTTAGGGCTTGCGTTAAACGGGTGAAGTACACTATGCCGGTACTGATCCTGCCACTCCAGAACAGCAGAAGATGCACAGACCAAGTCACTTGTGTAGTGGTATCGGGATAGCAAGGATTAAACATACGACTGCCATTTTTCTTTCTTGAGCAAGTCATGGCGACAAGCAAACGTTCTCACAGACTCACGGAATGACAAACCGCAGCGTGCAAAGGCACAGTGGAAGTGCACCTGTTTCCATTGCTTCCTGGCACTACATTCCCGAGCATGGCACGCCAGGGGCCATGCGCCATTTGGCTTCCCCTGCTCCCTGTACCACTGCCGCTGGAGCCAAGGATAGACAGGAGTGTGCACAAAGCTGCACGCTGCTCTCAGTTCAAGTTGAATGCCATCGAGAGCCCACGGCTTGCCTTTTTCCAAGTTGTCGCTAGCTGGGCCAGGAGCTCCTGCAGCAAAGCTCAAAGTGTGACATTTGCCGAACAGCTTGTTCGGTAGTTGCTTGTGCACTTATGCTGATTCCAAGGCTCGCACCTGAAAGATGCCAGCTTGTCGAGGAAGGCTTGGACGTCGCTCGATGTGTTGTAAAGATGTGGCGACACGCGCAGAACTCCAGCCCTGGAGGACACATGAATGCCTCAGAAAATCTCCGGGAGTGCAGTGATTCCAGGCAATGGGCTGCGTGATATGCTGCACATCCTCTGAGCATCTCTGAGCTTCTGCGACCCTTCATCTGCAGTATGATGGCACTGAAGTGCGCTCGAAGCCACTGTGTCTCTTCAAGTATGCAGCGGCAGCATCAGCCCACCTCTCCGCAGCTTGCGATCGGTTTCGTGAGGTTGCCTCACCTTCACCGCGCAGTAGTTCACGTTCGATATCCTCCTCGGTCACAACACTGCCGGCGCAATGAAAAATTACGCAAAACGAATGCACGATACAGTGCAATGCTGAGATGCGGGCTGCACTTGGGCCCACTCCAATGAAGTGTGGCGCATGAAAAGATGGCACTTGGAAGCCCAAGCTGGCAGCTCCTTCGGCACACTGCGCCCTGAGTCACCGAGCACGGGGGCTGGCGATGGTTCAAGGCTTCAGGGAGGATTCTGCGGGGCCTTCACATGATCTTGAAGAGGGCCCTCCTGTCCTGCAAGACCACATACAGCTGTTGAGATGAACCAAGGTGCGTGAGGGGCGCGAGTGTGGCACCGATGCGATCCGGGTGCCACTCGAGAACCTCTTGAAGATGGCAGATTCACTTATTGAAGTTTCATGTTTGTGTCGCAGCCCAGCCTGTTTCAAAGCACCGGCAACCATTGGTATCAAGATGGGATTGACGCGACCGCCCGCGTCGAACTTCCTCGCACCCTCCTGAAAATCTTCCTCAGCATGCGCAGAGATGCAATCAGGTCGCATGAGACATGCATCGTGATTCGTTTCGCAGCATTTTGCAGCTGCACATCTGAAAGTACTGGTAGAGTTCACACTGTTTTCCTGCAAGGCTCCGAGTAACCTGGCCTCTCCAGGTCAAAGGGTAGGCAAACGTCTCCATCTGCACCAAGGCGGTTGTGTTCATCCTGGACTATGGGCTCAGTTGCGGCATCCTGGCTCCACTCGGGTGAAACGTACACCTCAGATTGGAACAAGGCTCTGAGGTGCTTGCATGCTGGCAACCGGCCTACCGACTGCCGACCAAGCCCGACGAGGCACCAGAGACAAGCCGTACGGCCCGAAGAGCCACTTGTGCACGGAGCAAGCCAGCCAGTCAATGCCCCAGGACTCTGCCTGAATAGGCACCACGCCTGCGCTCAGCAATGTATGGCATAATATTATACTGTAAACAACACTGACTGCGCGTGAAATTGGCTTCCCTGGATCGCCTAAAGATTGCGTGGCGTCCACAACCAGGACTGTTCGCCGGCCCCAAGCTACCTCGTCCAGCACCTGGGCTGCCAGTGGGGCTTGCTTACACTGACCATACAAGCATGGTCTGCCTCGTGTCGGTGTGGTGAAGTTGCTTCTCTTTGCGATGTACGTGAGTGGAGCAGTCAGCGTCTCTCGCGCGCGTACTCTCACCTGTTCTTACAATGACGCTGAAGACACAACTGAAGAACTGAGTGACGATAATGATGATGAAGAACAAGAAGAAGAAAAGACAATGACAACGATGATGATGATGACTCAATGATGATGATGATGATTATGGTGGTGATGATGATGATGATGATGGCGACGGTGATGACAGGGACAAGGAGGAGGCCAACGATGGCCGTCTCAAGTGTGTCCGTTCCTATTGCTGTGGTCGTCGTCGTGATTCCATAACCATCTCAACTATTCCAGGTGCTGCGCATCCACCTCAACCTATGTCTTTTCTGGTTCTTTCACTCCGGTTCGAAGTAGTCTCTGCTGAAACTGTTCCGCTTGGGCACGGATCGAAGTCGGTGCAAGTTGATCGGCCCTGAACCGTCGGTCCACAGAAAGTGGGGCACGGCGACGACAGCAATCCGAGAGCGCTGGGCGTGGAGTCGGATTGCAGTTTCCAGCGCTTCGTCCCAAGGGGACAGGGTCATCGCTGACATCGAGGAATCTGTTCCTTGTCATTCCCAGGGCTAGAAAAAACGGCATGGCACCAGTGTCTGCCAACGAACCCAAACATGCGCAAGTCATTCACCACTGTGTGCAGAAGCCCCTAAAGCTAAAGCAGCACCCCCACCAGGCCCAAAGCAGACAAGCAGATCAAATCAACTGCTGTTTACAGCTTCAGGTGCTCTGGCGCTTTGGCCGACGCTCCACGGGTTCCTCCTCCGTTTCTTCCTGTGGCTCCGGGATAGCCACCAAGCGGGCGCCGCTCTCACGACAGAGGCGCTGCCACGCATAGACATTGGAGCTCATCTGGTTCTGGAGCACAAGGATCACGTCACCTATCGATCTATCAATATTTCACCCGCATACTGTATCATCCCCCCGCCCGCCCACGGCAGAGCGAATCGTAGGCCTGCTGAAATTCTTCCAGACCTTGCGATGTTGTGCGCTGCCTGTGAGATCGCGTAGGAGGTGGATGGTGCCAGCGCGATGTTGTCGGGACTGGCCCTCACCAGCTGCGCAAACAGTGCCCGCACTTGCGCGGAAGCGCTGTCTGCGATCAACCATGGCTGGTTCTTCACTGACACCGCCTCGTGACCCAGCTTCTCAACCTCAGTCGACGCTTCAGAGCCTAACACTCAGAAACATCGGAGAGGTGCCCATGCGTGATCCCAAGGCTTGGACTGAGCGAAGCAGTGGCGAGCGTGAGGCGCAGTTTAAATAGACTACGCCTCAGAGGCTAGTACAGGCTACAACAGGCCACATCTATAGGCTACATGTTACTGAGGCCTGCGGGAAGCGAGAAGAGGTGCTTCTGACAGCTCAAATGGCCATGGCCGCCCGTTGCATTGCAAGGGTCACTTTGGGCCGGTCTATGCACCTTGCCAGGCTGTCACGCCACGCGCATGAAATGCGCTTGAAACTTGAGGCTCGCTGCCGTATGACATCGTATGACTCTGTATTGCCGTTGTCTTTCATCTCTATCACAGTAGCAGAACAGAAATTTGCAGCCTAGCAAGCCAGGGGAAAATTTGCCAAGGTCGGCGCTGCACTTCCCATTGCGAGGTGCGAGCGCAAGCTAGTCTGGGATCGGGCGGGGTGGGAACCCTGTACGGCTTTCGGGCGCGGCCGCTTGCAGCTTGCATTGAACCGTCTGTGAAAAGTGGGGTGCACTCTGGGTACTGGTGTCTCAGCTCTTGAAGCCAAAAGAAGCTCTTCATGCTGTCATGTCATCGAAAGCTAGCCCTGCTTGGAGCTCGCTGGATTCGTCCGTCGTCGAGACTTCGAGTTTCCCACACTGAAACTAGGGCAGGGGAAGCAAGCTGCACCGTAGAGTTGAAAGCCTGGTGCGGTGCAGCTTTAGCTGTGGCGCGCTTCCCCACTACCTATCCAGATATATCCAGATGCAGGCAGGTTAACAATGCAGGCGCCGATGTGCTGATTGCAGAAGCAGGAGACAAGCGCGTCATCCGATTGCAATCGGCTAACACTCGGTTGTTCGGCTTCGCTCTCTGCGACTCGACGCCGAAATGTGCGGGTCTGCGCACCTTTAAAAGGTTACCCTATAAAGGGTTCCTAGAAGGGCTCCTGTGAAGGGTTGCCCTTTGTAAAGGGCTCCTGTACAGGGTTCCTAGGGATGCGCTCCCTTCACTGTCTCACTCAGGCAGGTGCTTCCACCAAATGCAGGCACATTCCTGCAGGGACGGTCGACCTCTATTGTGCTTGTTAGCCGATCTATTTCTTCTTGGTCCTTCTTCCTTCTTACGAGCGTCCAAGCTCTTCTGATCCCTTGTACCGGGTGACTTCGTCGCGGCTGGGACAAACGCTAGGGACTCTGACTGGCAAGATGGTTTGCCGTCACGGGCATGCATCAGACGAATCCGGCAAGCCTGCCTTCGTCGAATCATCTAGTCTGATTAGACTTGTCTCTGTTTATGTTATTGATATAGGATCTGCGTCTCCCTGAATCGTCAGTCGCTGCATGTCCATGCACCCCGCTTCATTAGCTTCCCCACTGCATCCGGTCAGGTCCTGCAGGCAACCAGATCCACAGCTGCAAAGAGGCCGCTGCTCTCGTGCAGCTCGCTCCTCCTGGGATCACTCGAGTCGTGGCGTAAGGCCGACCCAGAGGCCAAGACAGGAAGTCACGCAACGAGTTGCACTGAGATCTGCGGGACCCCGTCATGCTTTTCAGCGCATGGTAGCTTCGATGGGGCAAACACGCTCCGCGGCTGCGCCTCGCCGAGCTGGCGGCTGGGCGGCTTGACCGGATCGCAGCCGCGGAAGCCCTGATGCGAGGGCTTGAGG